CCAACCACCAATTTACACCCGCCCGGCCAATTAGCGCCTCTAACCCCCATACAAATAACAACTAAATCTGCGTGAACTAAATCGAAATATTGGATCATGCAAGAGATAACAAAGCTAAATGAACCTGGAAAATTAGGGCCTACAAAGATCGAAACCGCGTCGATGCACGCATGCACGCGATAAGGAAGCGGGATGCTATTAGGCCAATTGAGAGGCTAACCACCATACGAATAAGAATCAAAACCGCGCGCAATATCAGACTATCACGCAAGCACGAAATACACTAATTTACGCCCGCCCGGCCAATTAGCGCCTCTAACCCCCATACAAATAACAACTAAATCTGCGTGAACTAAATCGAAATATTGGATCATGCAAGAGATAACAAAGCTAAATGAACCTGGAAAATTAGGGCCTACAAAGATCGAAACCGCGTCGATGCACGCATGCACGCGATAAGGAAGCGGGATGCTACTAGGCCAATTGAGAGGCTAACCACCATACGAATACGAATCAAAACCGCGCGCAATATCAGACTATCACACATGCACGAAATACACTAATTTACGCCCGCCCGGCTAATTAGCGCCTCTAACCCCTATACTAATAAGGACCCGAACCACGCGCGCTTCCTAATTGATTCCTAATTGTCACCGTCGAACTGTGGCCACAATTCCAACGCGTACAAAGAAATTTGGTGACTCATTTCTTTGTCGCGCTATCCGTAAATGGAATGCTCATGTGTCCTTTTTACAACCTTCCTTCTTACAACGATCCTTTGAAAGAGGCGTGAAGGCCAGTAATGTGAAGATGGATGGTTTGGCACATAGAACTGCTGTACCAGCTATCTTAACGTCTGGACTTCACCGTCACTTAACATTAGGTGGGGTGGAGACATTTGTCGGACCTATCTATAAAAAATAATCATGCATGAGATAACCAAAGCAAGATGCTAGCTAGACCTGATATGAACTTAGCTTGTGCAATACCACGAAAACGAATTACAGCGTTTAAATGACTTTCGCAAGGCGTGAAAATAATTTCATCATAAAATTTTGAAAAGGCAAATTCTCCTCTGCTGTTGAGCAAAAAACAAAAAATGAATACATCTTTTTTTTTTTCAATGAGACTTTTGATTCGTCCAAAAAAAAATTTCGTTACCTGTCGTTATTGGACGTTTTTTAGCTGCGGAGAGAAACAAGCGAATAAAACTCCACAACATTAAAAGAATAATGTAACAACAATTACAAATGATTATGTGGATACAACGTCAATACAATTCAAAAACCTGTTGAAATGATCGGAACAATTCAAACCCAAGCGTTTTTGTCTGTAATATAATCAGGCACTTTGTAATAAGCTTTTTTATAGTATCTTTAATTTGTTTATGGTTAACTTTTGTATATTGCTTGGGGCTTTATTTTATAAGCAAACACAAACTTTTTTTAATGAATTACTGCTTTTATGAAGCTTAAAAATTCAAGTTTTATGAGGATGTTAGGAAAATGTACGTCACCAGTTGGCGTAATAAGTAAATAAATAATCAAAATTCTAATTAAACAAATAACTTTAGCACACAACTGTGTCGATGCAAACAAATTAAGACACAACTGAAGAGTCACATAGAGACGGAATTAGCCTGCGCTATTATTTTCCAGTGAATAAATATAAATAGGCAAACACCTTAAGCAAAACCACAGACACATAACCTTGCGCAGGAGACGTTTTTGTGTGAAAAATTGCTACTGCGTAGGCTTCTTTGTCTATGGCCGTTGCTCAAGAAGTTTGGCGGGTTGTATACATATCACTGATGAAAAACAATGGGCAATGAAGAAAACATGAGGCACTTTAGCCAGGGACACATTGGGTAGGGGACATCTACGCGGATCGCTCTGATATAGACGGGAACAGTAGGATGGATTGCGTAATCAATCAAGCATCCACTCTCTCTGATGGGCATCATCAGCCTATTAATCTCCCCACTGCTGGGAGGCCTGGGGAGGTGGGCCTTCCCTATTGACGGAATAGGAAGATTGGGCCATGACCCACCACGCGGGCCCAGTGCGGATTGGTGGGTGCTGACGACTGCAGATGCAGCCGGGACCAACGGCTTAATGTGCCTTCCGAAGCATGGAGGTACTCGAGTTAGAAGATTTTTGGTCACCCATCCAATGACCGACCACTGAGAAAGTTGCTTAACTTCAACGATCGCACCCGAACGCTCTAACCACCTCCTCCTCCTCAACTACCCGCACATTGCACGGTATCACCTGTATGGGGAGAGGTTTTACGCGCATGAGCTTCTCCTGCCTGAGGGAGGAACAGAAGATCCTTCCAACAGGGAGTGGGTGGCCCGGTGACTTGGATACCACACCCAACCGAGCGTGCGCCATGGATTTTTTTGTGGGTAGGCCTCCGAGACGTGGAGTTTATAGTGGGTAGACCTCAGTGACGTGGAGTTTTAGTGGATAGGCCTCCGAGACGTGAGTTTTTGGTGGGTAGGCCTTCGAGATGTGGAGTTTTTAGTGGATTGGCCTCCGAGGACTCATCGAATGGACCTCCATTGGATGAGTCCACGGAGGACTCCCACATAACAGTATGGTGCGTCACGCACTTTCCCCATAAAAGGTAGGTGTCCTGCATGGCTCCCAGTATGTCATTAAGTTTTTCTTTGATACTCAAGATGATAAAAAGGAGTTATCTTTACTCCGTTAATAATCTACCTTTTTACTACAGCTTTTTAAATACAGTCATAAACGAGGACGAATCAACGAACCTAAAACAAGGCATGCAATAACGACGATTAAAATATTGTAAAAAATATTTTAATAAAATTTAGTACTTTCAAAATCTGTTATAAATATAACGATGAATATAAACAGCGGCAAAATATCAATGAGGGTTTTCTGAAATGACAGGCACCAGCCTGATACCGCCAGGTGATAGTACTGAGACGGAAGGTCTACTCATCCGTCAAATCGCACATTTTTTCATAGTCTATGGATCAATTTAAATGCTTAGTTCGCGCCAAAAACTTCATGCAAGACCTCACGTCACAGTGGCGCCAACTGGTGACGTATATTTTCACAAACACCCTCACTCACTAAAACTGTCTAACAAATGAAGAATGAATTTATCTGTGAAACAAGATCTTAAATATGAGTAAGTACTAAACTGCTTTACTTACGGTTTAAATTAGCCTGTGGAATGAAAAAAAAACTATGCAAATTTAAAAAAAATGTGCTAAATCACATAATATAAACATAAACTTGACTGTGCCTCTTTCTGCGAGATGGAATAGCTTAAGCAAAGCTCTTCGATTCTAAACCTTATAGTCAACAATGACAATCGAAATACTTGTGCATACAATAGTGTGATACGACGGGTGATTATTATTAAAAACAAAACGCACTTACGCGACGCACTTGAATAAAACATGCTTTTTAATAAAACCTACAAAACACTATTAAACAATAACATAGCAAATGCTCAGTAGACTAATTTAACTATGTGAATCTATTTCTTTCTTAGGTTTTCACGCACACCAATCATTAAATAAAACAAGTTTCAACGGTATAGATGCACTGATTTATTTATTTATTAAAAACCTTTTAAAAAAATTCAGACTACGCATCCTGCAAAGAATGCGAAATGTCAATAATAATTAAACTTGTTTTATTTATGTGAATCTATATCCACTATGTGACGTAATTTGTGTGCAATAATTATTTGATTTAAAATGAGCGAGCTACTATTCGAAACATACAGATAGTTTTTGAGAAGCAATAAATTGATAGTAAACATAATCATAAATCTGAGATACAAATACAATATACAATAATAACAGAAGATGATATCAACAATCAAAATTTTCAGAAAAAATACTATAATATAATAAAACATTTAATATAAAAAAGAGCTAAAAAAGTCGTAGTTAGAAATGCGAAAAACCATTTTTTTCTCTATTACTATTTCATTTACCCTTTTTGAATTTAATGTTCTTGACTGTATTGCTTAATGTAGTGTCATAATTATTTTTATAACACATTTGCTCGTAAAGCGTCTCTTACTGCACCAATTTCAAAATCATAATCTATCACATTACACACGCGTGCGGTAATGTAAAGTAAAACGCACGGCTTATTATGTTCCGTCTAAAAACGAACGATACTTTTTTAAATCTTAGCAAAGAGTTTTTATGTCAGAAAGGTAGCCAACATTTTCTTAATAAAACCAACTTTGGGAGATAAAATATAATATATATACATTTTATTCTTTAATTTGATTCATTTTGACAATAAATTACAACCATGTATCGGTAACAACTTCACAAAAATATTAATATACTTTATTAGTAACACTGGCTGTTTTTTGTTTCTTTGCCTAAAAATTTATAAGTTAATGCGCGCGCATCGCTAATCTGTGAAAAAGTTATTTATTTTTTTCGCTGTATTGTTTTTATTTGAAAATATTGTCAATATTAATTTGACACCGCCAAAAGCGAAAAAGGCTACGCTAAGCCTCTTGCCCGAAAAATCAAGTCAAGTCAAATACAGTCAAGCGTTTTAAATTTTCATCTTATGTAAACAAACAAAGGTGCAAATTCATTTTCAGAAAGTACGTACGTAGGTAGTATTATTTCCTCGCAAATGTGTTATAAAACATCGTATGACATACGCATGGTTTCATAATTACAGCCTCTGCCTTCTTATAGGTCTCACATACAGCTCGGGCTAACAATATCGCCTCGGCTGTAATTCTCAACTTACCGCACTTATATCATAATGTACTATTACTAAAATATGACGATACATGAATGACCTTCATATAAAGTAAATATTAAATTATTACACCAATTGCTTGTTTTCCATCCACCAAACTGGTATCCCCGTAATCATGACATTACTGAATGCCCCTATTGACCCAATATCTCTAGCATTACCTATCAAAGCGATTAAAATTAAATCAAACTGATTTATAAAATCTAAAAAGTCACTTACCTTAACGCTTAATGGTTCAGTCCCGCCTTCTGGTATCACATTATTTAACGCGGCTATCGCTTCCTGTGCCTCTTCCCTTTTATCAAATCTGTAGGAAATAGTTATTTTCAGCATACTTGTTAAATAATGCATTTAAGGAGGTTGTATAAATTGTTCGAAAGTTCAAAATTACGAGCCACACAACGGAGCGTGCGATAAAACCTTTTACCGCACGCTCGCATACATAGCGCCGTGCGTATCCTTTTCTTTACCAATGAGAAGTTTACCACTTTAAGGTGATAATCGCCAGAGCTTGGCACTGAGCTATGCAATAAAAACCTAATAACAACTAGCAGAAGCCCGCGACTTCGTCCGCGTTAACTTTGGTTTTTTGAGAAGCCCTCAGGAACCTAATCTTTTTCCGGGATAAAAAGTATCTTTTCTCAAACCAGGTATTATTAATAAGTGTGCCACATCCAAATCACTTTACTCGTTTTTGTATAATTAAGTAACAAAATACAAAAAATCACATTTATAGTATTAGTTCGCTAGCTCAGGATTCAATACTTCAATATAAAGCAACTTAATGACCTTGCATAACCAATATGTAACTACAGTAGACCTGCAGTAATCCGACAAACGTTTTTCAAGGCGATGTTGGATTATACAATGCCTAAGACCACCCTGTATAGTCCGTTTTTTTAAACAAATCTGATAAACTATTTTAATTCCTCTTTATATAAAATTATGTTGGCGACATCTACATGCCCCACATATAACTAACACGGTGGAATGAACTGACTGACTATTGACTATTTGATAGGAGTGAAGCACTACCAGTTCTTTTTGCGGATGACATATCAATATTGCTAAAATTTCAGAAGGGAACTGATCCAAATGCATTAATAGAAAAAACTTTAGATACTGTAACAACTTGGCTCGAGAACCATAATTTAGAGATAAACTATAAGAAAACGAAAGCTATACAATTCAGAACATATAAAACCCCACCATTAAATGTTACAGTTGTTTACAAAAATATAAATATCGAATTAGTAGATACATTTAAATTACTCGGTATAACTATAGATAGTAATTTAAACTGGAAAAGTCATATTGATTATGTTAAAACTAAATTATCCAAATTTATATACGCACTCTTTGAAATTAAACAGAGTACTAACTTAGAAACAGCTCTTTCTACATATTATGCATATGCCTATTCCTGGTTGCGGTACGGGTCTATGCTGTGGGGTAATAGTGTGAATTCACATGATCTTTTTGTTATGCAGAAGAAGTGTATTCGTATCCTTGCACAAATAGACAATACAGTGAGCTGCAAACCTTTCTTTAAAAAATATAAAATACTTACTCTTCCAAGCATATACATACACGACATATGTGGTTTTGTATTTAAAAATTCTAACGCGTTTAATAAAGTTAACCAAACCCATAATATTAATACCCGCCATAAAAATAGATTAAATCATCCCCCATCAAGACTAACCATGCTTAGCAATAGCCCCTACTACATGGCAGTTAAGATATTTAATAAATTACCACATTCTATAAAAAACCAAAAATCTATTACCACATTTAATACAAAACTTAAAAAATTTCTAATTGATAAATGCTTCTATTCTGTGGATGAATATTTAAATTACAAATAGATAATAATTTAATATATGAATGCACAAAGTTAAAAAGAAAATATATTTATTAGATTTTAAATATACTTTTTAATATATATAATGAAAACTTTACAACAAAATAATACTAATAAGGCGATTTTTTAAAATACAAACCTAGTATATAATAATCATGTTAATTGACATATTATTTTATTTTTTTATTTTATTTTTATTGACATATTTATTAATTTTAATTATTGACAAATTTAATTTAATTTTATAAATGAATTTCCATTTCTATTATATTTCTACTGTTAATAAGATCAATTGAGTAAGTTATATTGTTAAACAAATGGAATCAGATGATATTTATTTTAGACACAAATTAGGTTCCTTATATACTATTTATTAATTAGATGCTTTTTTAATTTTATATAACTGTTTATTAATTAGATGCTTTTGTAATTTTTATCTTTAACTGTACTGTATATTGCGATACCCTGACAGGGTTCATGTTAGGTACTATAAACATTTTGTAACCATCGATGTAACCACATGAGTGCAATAAATTGAATTGAATTGAATTGAATTACTCGCCTCTTCAAGAGATGGCGCTAACGACGCTGCGATCAAAAAGTATGGAAGCCTACATCGCACAAAGGAAATTCTGAGGTAAAACACTTAATATATGCAATGCCCGACCCACATCAGACGGGCCGCGGCCCCCGGGCTAACATCACCCAGCTCGGAGGAAGATCTTCCCGTTTGGCTTTCCTACACAATGGACAGTGACAGGCGTGTCAGATTACAGTTACCCAAGATCTGCTGTATCTCCATTTTTAGAGTTCTGTACCCAAAGGAGAAAAAACGCAACCCTATTGCTGTCACTCTGTCGTTTGTCTGTCTGTCCTTCTAACGAGTCATGGGTCTCTGGATCGTAAACGGAATAAGTTAGTTAACTGAAATTTTGGTATTCCCAATTTATTACCTGACGAAAGCAACACCGCGGGGCGCGCCGCTGCCTTTGTCCCTCAATATATGTTTTTGCACGATGCGGCCGTACTTGCCGAATATCGTCTCCAGCTGTTCCTCAGTAATGGCGCGGGGTAGGTTGGTCACGTATAGGTTGGTGTCCTTTATGTCGTCGCCTGACGGCCGCGCGTATGATACCTGGGGTGGGGAAGATGCGTCATGCTCTTGAACGGCCGGTGGTAGAGATAGTGGAGGTGAGTCTGCTCGTTACAGTTTATATACATACTGTGTCAATATATTTAACTTTAATCGTAGATTATCAGCTGTCGGAAGTGTGAGACATGTCAGTAACAATTTTCTCTATAGATGAAAACTCTTAATAAAGAAGCTTAAAGTTTAAAGTCGGCTGCAGATATTTGACAGTGAACTGAACTTGTAACTGTTTGTAAGTTTAATTTTAAAATCCTACATCTTATATCTATTTTAAAGCAAGTCGCTGGATAAGTTTAAAATATTTGAAAACAATTAAGTTATTATTATATAAAAACCTACCTTTAACCGTTTATTTCTGAGCTGGTAACCATTGAAGGTCTCGATAGCGCGCGTAGCGTCCTCCTCCCGCGTGAAATTTACGAAACCAAAACCGTAACTGTAACCAGTCTGAAACCGAAGAGATGAATGGTATATAAAATGATTGTATTACCAGAACCTGCAATGTTCAGAAGCCATTTTGATATGAAATGAAAAACCCTTTATTGGCCATCTTACACAATAAAAAAGGTAAATTTAAAAAATCAAAAAACCCGACTGCTTAATTATACTTCAAATAAAAACTGAAAAGAAAAAAACAAGTCCAGTAGTCTATAATTCTGTTAATAAGGAACAAAGCTACTTTAACAGTCGGGACCCATTAGATATTCAAGAATACATAATATTTTCAACAGTGGGTCCCGACTGTTAAAGTAGCTTTGTTCCTTATTAACAGAATTATAGACTACTGGACTTGTTTTTTTCTTTTCAGTTTTTATTTGAAGTATAATTAAGCAGTCGGGTTTTTTGATTTTTTAAATTTACCTTTTTTATTTCACACTTTTTAGTTAAGACGGTATATACCGTAGTCTTGTTACTTCAGTAAGGGAATTAATATCGCGGGAATTATTAAGTACCTTGCGTCGGTCTAAAAGATTGATTTATTAAGACATATAAAGACTTTACCAGCGGGGTCAAGGCTACAGATGCACCTCAATTTTCGCAAAAATGTGTGAATTAAATCAAGTTGTTACATAAATATCTCTAATGTATGTAAATTTTATAGTAAACTAGCACTTATTCAAAAAGTCATCTTTTGTTTATATATATATTTTTTAATAGTTTAGCAGTAAATATAAAATTCATTTACTTTTATTCGTCGACTATTTAAAATTGGCAGTGGCTGCATTGTCATGTCAATGCCGGACGTCTAAGATTGTGATATACACAAATTCAGTGTCAGTACCTAGTCTCATAATTTGATATACCTACATAATTCACAGAAACCCAATATGTAGATACCAGAAGTTAACTTCAAATGTTTTTAATCATCCTATATACAATACCAATCAATGACGTTTATGTCGCAGGTTGAAGAAAACAGTAATTCCCGTCTGTTGTTTTGGACAATGGTGGCAACTGCCTTAGATCACTAAATTAAATAATTATGCAATCACCAAAGCAAAGTTTATAATATTTTATTAAAATAAAGGCGCATAATAAAATTTTCATAACGTTAGGTAGAGCACCATAGCAATCTCATTTATTATCAATTTATAGTTCTCTTTGTAGTTTTCTTTTAAAGCGTTCACATTTAACAGGTCAAAGACTTTGTGTTCGACCCTTTTTTATTGGTAGTGTAAAGCTCGAATGAAGAGTACTCCCAGTAGTGCAATCATGGCAATTATTTTCCATTTTTTTTTAAATACCGAATGACGTATCACTGTTAAGCACAAATGCTAAGTAACTTTTACAAATATAATCAAATAAACGTTTTACTTACTTTATTTTTAAATCTTTTTCATCAATTAAATACTTATCTTATTCTAACTATCTGTAATAATATTATAAAGAGGCAAGATTTGTATGTTTGTAACAAATAATCTGTCAAACTACTAAACCGGTTTCAAATATTAATTCAACATAAGGTAGCTACATTATTTATTATAACATTTTTCTTTATTTAAATACATTTTGTCCGAGTTACATAGGCTATATTTTATCCCGATAAATAAATTTCGCCCGTACAATGCCCGGGTGGATCACTAATAAGTATAATATAATATTATAGATGCGAAAGTGAGTTTGTTTGTTGGGCTTCCGTGCCCTAATAACTAAACCGAATATAATGAATTCCCATATAGAAGTAGATGGGAACTTGGTTCTTAGCTACAACATCGCAATACTTATAGGCGTAGGGTGATGAAAGGGGTGATTTACCTAAAAAAAAATCAGAACTAGAACTAGCTACATTAGAGCAGAATTATTACAAAACCAATATTATCGCGAGCTGATTAATAAATACAGGGATTCCAATAAGTATGTACTTACTAGCGAAAAATGGGTTATTTGTCATTATATTAAGTAAACTTTTTTTTTAACATTAAGTAATATTGTTAAATAAATTAAAAACAGTAAAATTCTGAGTTTTTCATTAAAATTCAATAATCATAAATACCTATTATGATAATATATTTTTCATCATTTAATAAGAAGGAACTGTATCACAGTTTTATTGTTAGTACTTCGTATAGGATCAGATACTGCGAATACCCCATTTTTTTTCTTTTACATAGTACACCGCGCTATCGCTTTGTCATCGTTGTAACACTTTAAATATTTGTCGAAATGACATAGTGTAAGAAGCAAAGTTTATCGTCTTTAAATATCAAAAGCGATAAAAGTATTTGTTTTGATAAAAAATGATTTGTTAATACAAAATGTGCATTTTGGAAATAGATATCAAATAATATTTTAGTTTTGATTCACTATTTTAGCGGTAATGACTTACATATTAAAAATAGATATATGGTGTCACGGACTTTTTTTTAGAACTATTTAAGAGATACATTTTCACTCTATATTACATTCATGTAACTTTTATTGTTTTTACAGTGCAGGCTAAAATGGCTCGCAGATGGGAGATTTTTTTCCGTCTTATGTGACACTTATTGTTATATATTGCCCAATTCACTCAATAACTACATAAATTATTATATATATGTAATTATCATATATGAGCTATATTACTGTTAAGTTTCATCAAAATCCATTCAGTATTTTTAAGGTGAAAGAGTAACAAAGATCCATACAAACGTAAGATTGAAATTAAAAGCGTAAGTGGTTAATATACAACTTTAAAGCATTGTAGATCCTAAACAATCATATAGAATGAAAAATGGTGTTAGAAACCTAAATATGATTTTTGATTATCTAGACAGTGATACCCCACTCGACATATTTTGTCAACTTATTTTTTTTACTTCGTCACAATATGGCGTCTAATTTTGCCCATATTGAATTTTGATTACTACCATATCTTTAGTAGCACTCCCATGATTGAGACGAATCGATCGATGTATAAATCATCAAAATCGGTCCAGACGTTTGGTCTCTAGTGTGCCACAAAGGAACAAACATACATATATAGACTGTTAAACACATAACCCTGTCTGCGCGTCGCGCTTCGCGCTCTTGCATTGCGCAGCCGGGTAAAAAACCTATGAAAAAAAACAGAAAATAAAAGAGAAACTTGACCTTAGAACAAAAAATAATAACACTAAGACGGCCAATCAGGACCCTGCCTCAGCTTATGCTGACACACTGAATATACTCTCTGTCACTGTATCAGCGCATTACAACTTTTTTACGAGATTTATTGAAAATATTCTTACAATGGACTGTAGACAAGGATATCTGTACAATATACAGCTATAAATTTTCTAAATCAGATAACAGGAAAATTTAAAACGATAAACTTATACCTGGAAACCACGGAGCACTTGTGACGACCTCCGTGGCCGAGTGATGTGTTTTTTTGTCTAGGAAATGCCTTACGCATCCTTCAACCACCGGGGGAGCGAGAGGAAGGTATGTGGGACTCCTCCCTGCTCATTTCAGCCAGCCTTAGGCCGGGTGAAATGAGCAGGGCCACTAAAAACCAGACAATACTCCTGCACCGGTCACCCGGCGTACATTCTGAGGACCGCAGTCCCCCCGCAGCACGCCGGGAGTGCGGGTGTGGTCGCGGCAACCGTCGTGTAGTTCTATCCGTCCCTCTCCCCCCTTGGCCCTAAGAAGGGCCTTTTGAGCATCAACCGCCAATCGCAATGATCAGACTCACTGTGGGGTGATGCTCCTACCCTGGTCCTGAAAAGGACCGTTGAACGGTGTTCAGCACTCCCCGTCATGTGGTATGTTATGGTCCCGGGTTCGAATCGCGGTGGAGGCAGGTGTTTATGTGATTAGCGAGCATTTGTACTCCATTCATGGATGTTTAATATGTATTTTTTCTATATAAATATACTTATACACACATCAAAAGTGTCCAGGGATCAACATATATTTTTGCAATAACTTTTCTCCTGATTGATATTAATTAAAATTTTCTTTAAGGATTCATCAAATAAAGTGTTTTCGTTTGTCACAGTAACGATAAACCAAGTCACCTTTGCATTAATAAAGAAATTTGCCATTTTCCTAATAAAGGGATTTTTGACATTTGAACCACTAACACAAAAGTTCGAAAAAAAGACTGAAATAACAGTTTTCTCTAAAATTTTATTGGGTAACTTAAACAATTAATAATCCGTATTTCTACCGCGAACACTAACAACACAAGAACATCGGTTTGGCATACTCAAAATGAGTTCATCCAAATCACGCTGTGGAATGGCCGCCCATGTTCGTTGCAACAACAAAAAAAGGTCTTCTTGCGACTGGATACCCTCCATATTCGGCAGAGCTCTTCTCTGTAGCATATCCCATGCATGCTCAATCGGGTTCAAGTCTGGCGACTGAGCAGGCCAGGGCAGGACATTGATGTTAGCTGCGGCGAGAGTCTGTCTTACAACTCTTGCGGTGTGCGGTCGTGCATTATCATGCATTAACTGAAATAAGGGACCGATTTGCACTTGTAGAGGAACGATGACGTCTGATACAATCGTCTCAGCATAAATTTGAGCGTTGAGGTTGCCTCTGATCCAAATCAACTCAGTTCTTCCGCCGATCCAAATACCCGCCCATACCATGATGGTTCCACCACTATAAGGATGGACTTCCTGGCAGGATTTTAATCGCTGTTGGCGTCCAGGGGTTCTCCAGTGTCGTATACGTCTTGTATCCGGTCTCATACCAAAACGAGACTCATCAGAAAAGCACACGAAACGCCATTGTTCTTCTGCCCAATTTCTGTGTTCAAGAGCCCATTGATATCGAATCCTACGATTGTGCATTGCTATAGGTGGTACCCGTAGCGGTCTTCGGGAATGAAGGTTCACTTCATGCAAGCGGTTTCTGACTGTTTGGTCGCTAATTAAGTTCCCTGAAGAGTGATGAAGCCTCACGGCTAACATCATGGCGGTTATTGTTGGAGCTCTTCGAGTTAAGATTTGAATGTATCGGTCTTGTCTCCGTGTGGTGCAGCGATACCGTCCTCCATGGCGCTCAGCCACGGTACCAGTGCTTCGGTATCGTGTCCAAAGTCGACTGATAACACTCTGACTTGTATTCAGAGCTAAAGCCACAGTACGTTGCCGGGAACCAGCTTCTATCATTCCCACGGCTCTGAGCATTTCTTCCCTGCTTAAATGACGTCGCCGCTCCATAATAACGTTGGTTTTAATCAGAAGTAGGGAAACAGTAGCACTAATAATGACTTCAATGCGTTGTATGTTTTTATAGGGAAAATATTGACAGCTGATTTTCATCTTTTACTCGAATTTGATTCACAGTTCCTGATTCAAATTATGAAATGCACCAAAAAGGATCCATATAAATTTATAAAATCATAAATTTATTACAAAGCCACATCTCAATCTCAAGAAATCCGCATAAAAATGCTTGATCCCTAGACACTTTTGATGTGTGTATAAGTATCAGTATATGTATTCTAGCCGTTACCCTAGTATCCCATAACACAAGCCTATAGTGTTTACTATGGGGCTAGACTAAATGGTGTGAGTATTAGAAATGCTTATTTATTTATTTACTGTAGCACCTACAGAATGGTATTCATTGCAAACAATCTTTTAAAAATTGAATAATTCCCCTTGAGTGCACCAATTTAGCGGAAAACCTATCACTCTATAAAGTTTTTATTCAAATCAGTTCATTTCTAACTCCCTTAAAGCTAATGCCAACATTTGACCTTCGTTAGAAAGGGATATCGCTATGTATAGCACATAGCGACATCCCTTTATTTATTTCCCCTTCATCCCTTCATTTTAACTAGTCACCTTAAAGTCTTTCATAACACGACAGCTCTCAATAGGTCCGATAGTCATGAACATCGCGTACAGGTCCTTCTCGGTCATCGACTGCTGTAGGTAGTTGATGATCACGTTGGTTCTTCTGCCGTCGCCAGAACTTAGACCATTACTACACATAGCGTATTAACTAGTCACCTTAAAGTCCTTCATAACACGACAGCTCTCAATACGTCCAATAGTGATAAACATCGCGTAAAGGTCTTTCTCGGTCATCGACTGCGGCAGGTAGTTTACGATCTGGTTGGTTCTGCTGCCGTCGCCAGAACTTAGACCATTACTACACATAGCATATTAACTAGTCACCTTAAAGTCCTTCATAACACGACAGCTCTCAATAGGTTCGATAGTCATGAACATCGCGTACAGGTCCTTCTCGGTCATCGACTGCTGTATAGTTGATGATCACGTTGGTTCTGCTGCCGTCGCCTGAACTTAGACCATTACTACACATAGCGTTTTAACTAGTCACCTTAGTCCTTCATAACACGATAGCTCTTAATACGTCCGATAGTGATAAAACATCGCGTAAAGGTCCTTCTCGGTCATCGACTGCTGTAGGTAGTTGATGATCACGTTGGTTCTGCTGCCGTCGCCAGAACTTAGACCATTACTACACAAAGCGTATTAACTAGTCACCTTAAAGTCCTTCGTAACACGACAGCTCTCAATAGGTCCGATAGTGATTAAACATCGCGTAAAGGTCCTTCTCGGTCATCGACTGCGGCAGGTAGTTTACGATCTGGTTGGTTCTGCTGCCGTCGCCAGAACTTAGACCATTACTACACATAGCATATTAACTAGTCACCTTAAAGTCCTTCATAACACGACAGCTCTCAATAGGTCCGATAGTCATGAACATCGCGTACAGGTCCTTCTCGGTCATCGACTGCTGTATAGTTGATGATCACGTTGGTTCTGCTGCCGTCGCCTGAACTTAGACCATTACTACACATAGCGTATTAACTAGTCACCTTAAAGTCCTTCATAACACGACAGCTCTCAATAGGTCCGATAGTCATGAACATCGCATACAGGTCCTTCTCGGTCATCGACTGCTGTATAGTTGATGATCACGTTGGTTCTGCTGCCGTCGCCTGAACTTAGACCATTACTACACATAGCGTATTAACTAGTCACCTTAAAGTCCTTCATAACACGACAGCTCTCAATAGGTCCGATAGTCATGAACATCGCGTACAGGTCCTTCTCGGTCATCGACTGCTGTATAGTTGATGATCACGTTGGTTCTGCTGCCGTCGCCTGAACTTAGACCATTACTACACATAGCGTATTAACTAGTCACCTTAAAGTCCTTCATAACACGACAGCTCTCAATAGGTCCGATAGTCATGAACATCGCGTACAGGTCCTTCTCGGTCATCGACTGCGGCAGGTAGTTGACAATCAGGTTGGTTCTGCTGCCATCGCCGGCTGCCGACACGCCGCCTCCTTCAGACATGCTGCCCCAGTACCTCGCACCGGAGCCCAGACGACCTCTGTACTGGTGTTGTATTTGCTGGAATGATAAATAAATTATCATGATCAGCAGCCTATCAGTGTCCTGTTAGTGATTACCGACACGCGAGCCCCGTGAAGACTTTTTGCTTACCATTACAGATGCAGCTGGGACCAATGGCTCAAGATAGTTAATTTTTGGTCACCCACCCAATGACATGTGTTTTATTTGAAATTCTTACCCTATTTATAGTATATTATATTAATATTGACGTTTTATGACATATTATGACAATCTTTTAAAATGTGTGAAACTGAAAAATGTAAAAGTGTGATAAATGTAATTGTTTTTTGTCGTTTTTATCACAACAAATAAATAAAATAAATGACAGACCACTGTGAAAGTTGATTCAACTTCAACGAACGCAGCCGAACGCGCTAACCACTTGCGCCATCGAGCTCTTACAGCCATCCTACAGGCCTTCCCTTTAGATGGAATAGGGAAATTAGTCCGCGAACTACCACCCGAGCCCCGTAAAAATTGGTTGCAATCGACTGCAGATGCAGCCTGGACCAACGGTTTGCCTTCGGAAGCACGAACGAGCTCGAAACAAAACTATTTGGTCACCCATCCAATGTCCAATAAAATTTAATATTTTTTTCCCGTCAAAAAATAAAACTTTTGTTATAAAATAATTTGGAATTTCCAGACTATCTCCTACAATAACAGAATTTAATCTATTTAAAGGTATATTCGTATTACATTAAAAGCAAGTGATATACTCCGAAACACAAACTATACACTGAGCAAGTTTATGTTTTTTTTACCTCCTTCTTTTTTGATACTGGGTAAACTCTTGATCCTTTATCAAACTCGAGAGCTGAGATGGGATCTACGGTGTAGAAAGCTAACCCAGAAAGGTCTATTCACTCTGGCTTTAAAGAGTCGGATTTTATGTACTCGGAAACACAGACGCAGGCAGGAAATTCCAGTCCTTCGCTGTACGCATTATAAAAATAAAATTATTTGAGAAGTGTTTGGTACGAAGGGGAGGAATAACAACCAATAAAAGATGGTAACGCGCCGTGCGTGTGGACGTCCGCTGGTAGAAGATGGAGAACGGAATGAGTTCGTGTAACTCCTGAACACACTCCCTGAAGTAATAATGTAACGATGATTTTGATTATAAACAGCATTTTCATATCACTTTAAATGTATTATATGAATATTATTATAAAATGAAATAAACAAAAAAACCTAGCCAACCCCCCACCATCTGGCTGGTGTGATCTTCCTTTCAATTAAAATGCTATGTTATTTAGGCAAAAGTTATCTTTATGATTAACCCTTTCGATGGTTACCATACAATACGTCATGTGTTTTTTTCGCAAATTTCACTAGTTTGATTCCCAGTTCTAGCAGGCGATATGTCTTCTTTCATTAAAATATCTCCTCCATGAGACAAACCCGTGGGACACCCTGTATAATTGATTATAAGAAAATTGTATGATCCGGTTACGATGGGGCTAGTATGGACAATTTAGTCCAAAAGTCCCTCAAAACAATTAATAAATAAAAAAAAGCAACATGAATAAGGGTTAAACATAGCCCAAAACAAAAACCACGTAAAGCTTCGAATTCTTTGAAAAACATGGTTCGTTCCAATATAAAATTCAAATGTACAGCTAACAGCAGTAAAGTTGAAATCAACGCCGCACTCCCCATAGTTTACAGCAATACAGAGCGCGCAGCACGAACCTATTAAACTGTACAATTGGTCGAAAAACTGGAGCGATCCAAAACAGGTGGCCTTGACCCACAAGTAGCGTCGCCATCCGTCCGGATAAAGCCGGACAGTGTTAGGCTTTTTGATCTCTTGTCCGGGTCAACTTGACTGTGTCAGGCCCCAGTCCTATTTCGACCGCAAGCTGCACTTGACTAAATATGGAAATGAAAAAATGATAATACTAATTTCTTTTTTATATATATAATACATGTGTTTTATTTAAACATTAAGTAATAATCCTTTCCTTTTGGCTTCCGTCCGGCCGTGAGACCCTGAAGTCGGGCTTTTTTTTAAGGGGGAATGTCCTGTTTTCTGTTTTTTAGAGATGGCAACTCTACCCGCAAGCGAATGGGATCCACTCAGTAGTGTAAACGGGACGCGGCCTTGGCAAAACTGCGATTTAAAATTGCCTATGCAGTATTGTGATTTAAGTAATGCGGTAAAAAGGTTTTAGCTTTGTGGCAACATAAATGAACTCGGAAATACTGGCCCAGAAAAAGATGGCAAAAAACTGAATCAGTATTTAAAAGTGTTAAAATTTATTTACATTTTAGTGGTCGAATAACCGAGTTAAGTTTATTGCATTTTAATTTTAAACTCAATTATTGCAAACTCAAAAAACCTAAAGAAAATTTTAATGGTCAGTGCATTCGCCCGGATAGCGAAGGGTGCGGGTTCGATTCGTTTAGTAAAATTTTCCTTAGATCTGAACATCTAGCAGTTGAATCCTTAAAAAAATATAATTCAAATACCTACATAAATATATATTACTTTTTAAGCGGACTTGGATGTTAATATGCAGAGAACTATCTATTGTAACGGCGCTTGGACAAGAAGTATAAATAGTTGACATATTGGTGATGATAAATCCACGTTTAATAAAGTCTCGACATTTTTTAATACAACACTCCTTGCCCTTCAACTATGACATGATGTTACAACGGAGAACGCTATGTGTTACATTTATTCGTCAAGTCACGCGCAACTAAAATAGGAACGGAAGTCGACCGACTGCCGCTGAGCATGCGACAAATTGTAACAGCCTTACATTATACTAAGGGCGAGACGATTTCTACCCGAGTCTAGCCACGGTTTTAAACCGTGTTTACGTCCCGGGCATCAGTTAAGTATGGGACACTTCAGTGGTTTGTTAACGCACCGGCACTACCGACCGACGGCGTTGGTACACCTTTTTTTTAATGTCTGGGAAATGCCTTACTCATCCTTCAACCACTGGGGGAGCGAGAAGAAGGTATGTGGGACTCCTCCCTGCCCACTTCAGCCAGCCCTAAAGCGCTTATTCTACCTGTCTAAATTCAGACGTTCTAAATCATTCAGTAACTAATTCAGTCAAATGAAATAACATTTAGGAAGTTAGGATCCTAATTAGCATCCTAAATCGGAAGAAGTGTGGCTTCTGACTGACTAAATCATTTAGTATTTTAATTAGAACGCGATTTAGGAGAGTATTGCGTTTAGATGCATCAGTCGCACCGCAGGTGTCACTGCGTGAGGAAGTGTTGTGTCTACGATTACGAATTACGCGAGTGTGCGATGTGTAAAAGAAAAAGAAGTTATGAGTAACATAATCCAATTGAATAAACATATGCCGTATCTTTGGAACACAAATGATAAAAATAATTTTAACAATATTAATATTCTTTTCCCACCCACCAATCCGCACTGGGCCCGCGTGGTGGGTCATGGCCCAATCTCCCTATTCCATCCATAGGGAAGGCCTGTGCCCCAGCAGTGGGGACATTAATAGGCTGATCATGATGATAAATATTCTTTTACCCACGTTTTTCGTTTCTTACTTTTTTTATTGACAACCAACGACCAGGCTTACGAGTAAACAGATTTTTTGTTGCTTTGACAGGACTGGAGCCATTACGAGAAAGTCCGACTGAATTCGCCGCGCTCTTGTAACTGACTGAACCAGTAAATAAGTCAAGTGTAATCAGATGCTTCAAATTAGCCTTCTTTTTAGGATCCTAACTAGGACGTCTGAATTTAGTCAGGTGGAATAAGCGCTTTAGGCTCGTTGAAGTGAACAGTACCCTACCTACACCCTGAGCAGGGCCACTAAAAACCAGACAATACTCGTGCACCGGTTACCTGGCGCGTATTCTGAGGACCGCAGTCCCCCCAATGCGCGCCAGGAGTGCGGTACCCTGTTCGATTGGCCTTGCTGGTACACCTAAACGTGGCTAGCCCCGGTGTCATTAACAAAGCTCCATTGCTATAGTGTCCCATACTTAACTGACGACCGGTCGTAAACACGATTTAAACCCGTCCCTAGATCCGGCGCAAAAACCGTTTCGTTTACAAGCGCCCTTAGCAAAATACAAAGAAACAGTTGTGGAACGCTGATCAACATTTTACATTCTAATTTATCTTTAAAAATTTGTGATATATTTACTAACTTGGCTCACGCTAAGCGTGTCCTTCACTGAATTACAGGATGTCAAAGGAGGCCCAACTTATAACCTATAACTTCATTTAATGTCCCCAGTACTGAAGCACAGGCCTTGGCTACTTATGGAAAAGGAAGATTAGGCCATAATCCAACAGGCGTGCCCATCCAGTGCGGATATGTGAGTGCTAATGACTGCAGTTGCAACCAGAGCAAATGGCTTAAAAACCCTTCTGGAGCACGGAGGAGTTGGAGATAATGAGTTTTTGGTCACCCATCCAATGAGAGACTACTGCGAGTCTAAACTTGCACTATTATAATCGAACGCGCTAACCAACTGCACCATCACCATCCAAGTGTTCATATGTGGTGTTTCTCTTATATTTTAGCGCTGTATCCGCTTAACTTTCGAGTGAAACTTTGAGTATTGTGTGTGTAAACAATAGTCCCGGCGGGTTACAGATACGGAGGTGCCCACGTTGTTTCATATATTGTGTTATTGGTTCACATACATACATCATACACAGACAATTATATGTGTGTACAAGACCGCCATAGAATTTAAATAGACAGAATATAAGAATTTGTATATTCTTAACTAAACTAAATAAACATATTACAAGCTTTATGCTTCATACGACCTCATTAAATAAGATTTTAAATGATAATATTGGTTTAATATTTTTGATCCATTTACACATTGCGTCGCTATCTTAGGAAACCTAAAAAGGAGGCCACGAACCTTTAAACCCTTTGCTAAAACCGTACAAAATCTATTGATAGATTTTTTGTTGAAAAGTTTTAGCGAAACGAACTAGGCATACATATGTATATAAAAATGGCACGCCGCGCGGTCGT